ACTTAATTAGGAATAATGAGGTGCTTACAAGGATGTGGGAGGGTTAAGAGGAATCAAAAAGGGATGGTGAAGCATCCTGGCCTCTCAAGAGAAAGGAGCAGATAACACCTTATTGGGCCAGGGAAGGGAGCTGTAGGAGAAGGCCACCTGACAGTAACCCTGGGACATCAGGGAAGGACCAGGTCAATAAACATCCTCAAATATTCTTCTCCTGCCTTCCTCTCTCCTACTAAGTAACTCTTAGTTGAGGCCACCTAGGTTGTAGAAGGCAACAAATGAGGGAACCAACAAAGTCTGTCTTCTAGATACAGACCAGAGGGAAAAGTGTCTATTTAGTTCTAGAGTGGCAAAAGAAAATATGTAGCATACATAAAAGGTAGAGTGAATCCTTTATTTGAGTGGATCATATGGGTGGGGAAATAATAAGTTTTGGCAAAAGAACGAGGCTGTTAAAGTGAATGAGAAAAATGTTGACATTCTAGGAAGTCTTCCCATGAGTATCCCCACATGGTTTTCACAGGCTGCACTAAATGGCAATTGCAGGTGTCCCACTGCAAATAGCAAAGATGATGAATGGTAGGATTTAGTTAGGTAGGGATGTGAGATTGATGGGAATGCGGAAAAGATGGCTGCTGGGTGGATGAAGTTGGAGCTGAAGTAACAGAGGAAAAGGACAGAGTTTAAGTAAGAGTCCATACTAGTGGTAGGCCAAAGGGCATGGTCGGGTAGGAAAAGTCTTATAACTTGAGAAAACTTTGTTTTTTTATTTTTTTAAAGATTTTATTTATGAGAGAGAGAGAGAGAGAGAGAGAGAGAGAGGCGGAGACAGAGGGAGAAGCAGGTTCCATGCAGGGAGCCCGAAATGGGACTCGATTCTGGGTCTCCAGGATCAGGCCCTGTGCTGAAGGCAGCGCTAAACTGCTGAGCCACCCGGGCTGCCCTTGAGAAAACTTTAGGAGAAGTCGTAGGCTGAGACAGAGACAAACACATAAGGCTTTTTTTTTTTAAATTTTAATTTAGTGGTTCATCACTTACATGTAACACCCAGTGCTCAACATAACAAGTGCCCTCCTTAAAACCCATCACCCATTTAGAACATCTGCCACCTCCCTCCCTCCATCATCGCTCCTTTTTTGTTCTCTATCATTAAGAATCTCTTATGATTTCTTTCGTTTTCTCTCTTTTTACCCCCTTCTCATGTGTTCATCTGTTTGGTTTCTTAAATTCCATGAGTGAAAAAAAAATTCCATGAGTGAATTCATTTGGTCTTTTTTCTATGATTGACCTATTTCACTTAAGATAAGACTCTCTGGCTCATCCATGTCATTGCAAATGGCAGGATACCATTTTTCGATGGCTGAGTAAACATCCATTGTATATATAGACCACATCTTCATTATTCAGTCATAAGTTGATGGACCTTTGGGGGATAGTTTGGCTATTGCTGATAATGCTGCTACAAATATTGGGGTGCATTCACCCTTCAGATCTGTATTTTTGTATCCTTTGGTAAATCCCAATAGTGCAATTACTGGAATATTGGGTAGTTCTATTTTTAACTTTCTGAGGTGCCCCATACTGTTTTCTGGAGTGGGTGCAACAGTTTGCATTCCCACCGACAGTGCAAGAGGGTTCCCCTTTTCCTGCATCCTTGCCAACATCTATTGCTTCCTGTGTTGTTCATTTTAGGCATTCTGACAGGTGTGAGGTGTTATCTCATCATGCTTTTGATCTGTATTTCCCTGATGATGAGTGATGTTGAGTATCGTTTCATGCGTCTGTTAGCTGTCTCTGTGTCTTCTTTGGAAAAATGTCTATTCTGTCTTCTGTGCATTTAAAATTTTTTAAATTAATTTATTTTTATTTGAGATAGGAAGAGAGAGATCACGAGCACGATCAGGAAGAGCAGAGGCAGAGGAAGTGCGATTCCCAAGCTGACTCTGAGCTGAGTGGGAGCCTAATGTGGGGATCATTACCACCCTGAGATCACAACCTGAGTTGAAACCAAGAGTTTGAGGCTTAACCAACTGTGCCACCCAGGCACCCCTACCTATTTTTTAATTGGACTATTCATTTTCAGGTTGTAATGTTGGATAAGTAACCAGGGTTACTCAACCTCAGCACTAATGATTTCTTGGACTGCATAACCCCTTGTGATGGCTGTTCTGAGTATTATAGGATGTTCAGCAGCATCCCTGGCCTCTACCTACTAGGTGCCAGTAGCACACCCTCTTCCTTTTGTGAAAAATAAAAGTCTATTCAGGTATTGCAAAATACCTCCTGGGCAAGAGAATCATCCCTGCTGAGAACCCCTGCTGTAGATATAGGTAATTGACTAGCGGTAGGGGAGAAAGAAGAGATGTGAGCAGAGTCTCAAGAAATGTAGTGTATTATAGTTTTTTTTAAATTTTTATTTATTTATGATAGTCACACAGAGAGAGAGAGGCAGAGACACAGGCAGAGGGAGAAGCAGGCTCCAAGCACCGGAAGCCTGACGTGGGACTCGATCCCGGGTCTCCAGGATTGCACCCTGGGCCAAAGGCAGGCGCCAAACCGCTGCGCCACCCAGGGATCCCTGTAGTGTATTATAAATAAAACAAGACATAGGAAGGAATCTTCATGAAGAAAAGGGAAACATTTAAACTGCACAATAGGCATCCAGCCCGTGACAAAGTTTTCCAGTGGAAGCAAACAATAGCACAAAGAGTTAAAGTGCTCATTTTATATTTTATTTATAAAACACAGATGTCACTGGAAGGTTCTCTGACCCTAGCAGTTTTTACTCTATAACTCCCACTCTCAGTTTACAGTCTGGGGAAGTAGGTACTGTCCTTAGCCTTCTTGCTTGCTCCTTTTTTTCCCCTCAAACTTAGGAATTCCTTTATTCCTTATCAAACAATCTAACAGCAAATGTAGATAATAGTAGCTTTTATCTTTACATACAAGTTGTCATTTTTGGATACATCTTTCTGCAGAACTCTGCCACATTCATGCCTTGTCCTTTTGAGAGGGTAAAATTTTACATTAGCCTTATTCAAAGAACATGGTAAGTATAATAGACCAAAACCGCCCCCCCCGCCATGGAGTCTAGGGCAGGAGAGGAGAGTTTTTCCATATACAAGTACATTTAAACTTCTTCCAAATACAAAAACATCTGTGTTGTTGCTCTAGAGATAACTTTATGAATTGTAAGATCTTAACAGTACAATTTAGGTGAAGTGTCAGCAAGTGTTTTAAGTAAATCCCAATAGCTTGAAATTCAAGTCCAAACTAGATATTTAATGTGTTTTTTTATTGCAAATTTGATGTCTTTAACCTGAGGTATAGAGTTGTCTTCTAGAATCTTTGCATAAGGCATAGGGACTTCAGGACCAGTGACACAAACTGGAGGAGCATCCAGGAAATTGAATGCAGGGCCTTCCATGATCCTGCCACAAATTTCAGCTCTTACTCCAAACTGTGACCAGCCTCCTTCCACAGTTATGAGATGATTGGTCTTCATGACACTGGCTTCTATTGTTTCAATGTCCATCGGTCTGATAGTTCGCATATTTATCACCTCACATTCAATACCCTCTTTGGATAGCACTGTTGCAGCTTCTAAGCAGTGGCCCACAGGTTTTGAATAGGCAACTATGGTTATGTGTGTCCCTTGCCTTTCTATTTTGGCTTTTCCAATGGAAATCAGAAGATGTTTTGACTGAGCTTCTGAGTGAAATTCAAAAGGAACTCCATACATTAGTTCATCCTATAGCACCACCACTGGATTATTATCCCGAATGGCTGATTTAATAAGTCCTTTTGCATTCTTTGAATTCCAGGAGCTGACCACATTTAAGCCTGGGCAGTACCCATACTGGGCAGCAAAGCACTGTGAGTGTTGGGCAGCCATGCCTGCTGAGGTGTCATTGGGCCCCCTGAAGACTATAGGCATAGGCGGAAGGCCCTCCAACATGTAGTAAGTGGGTCTTGGCAGCTGAATTTATATCCTGGTCAATAGCTTGCATAGAGAAATTGAAGGTCATAAATTCACAGATGGGCCTCAACCCACCCATAGCTGTACCCACGGCATTTCCAGCAAAGCCCATCTCATATATGGGAATATCTATGATTCTCTTATCACCATATATCTTCCACAGGCCTTGACTAACCTTATATGTGCCATCATACTGGGCAACTTCTTCCCCAAGCAGAAATACCTTCTCATCTCTTTCCAGCTCCTTATCCATACTTTGGTTTATAGCCTCACAAACTGTCACCTGCAGTACCATAGGCGCTATCCAGTGGAAGTGCCTCCTCAGCAGCCCAGACACCTTTTCAAGGGGTCTCTGCATCAGACCAGACACTGCCACCATCTTGACCATGTCCTCTAGCAGCCCCTGCTCTTGCTTCTGTCCTTGCACCTTCCCATTAATAATTCACATGTATTTGGCATAGAGGCCCTCCTCTTACTTCCTTTGAGGAGGAATCCAAACCTACACAGTAGTGCTTATTTTTTTCTGGGAACTTCTTGGATAGTTTTGATGCCACCATATAGGTATAATATTGTATACCTCTTAGCATTTTTCTCCCACTGACTGCTTTTTCCCTAACTTCTATATCCCTCTGTTTCCCTCCTGGTTCTCAATATGCTCTTTTCTCAAAGATGGAGCTCATGCTAATTGCATTTGTTTTAGAAGTAAATGCCCAAAACTGTACTGGTACTATTCTTATTACCATCTTGGAGAAGGCTACAACGTTTCTGCCAGTTTTGGAATAATCTTTTCCATTTCATTACACTTGCCACTCCATTACGAACATGTATCATTAAGAGAATTTGAAAGGATAAATCTACATTGGAAGTAATATCATACAGATGAACATTATACATCAACGGGATCTTCTGGTTTGATGCTAGTAGGAAGAAAATGATGAAACTCTTTCCTGGAGCCTTTCAGGATTAGAGAGTTGCCCAGTTGTCAGGGATAGGGGAAGGAACTTCTCTTCCTAAAGGTATCCTACTAGACAGACTCATCCTGGGCCAGGCTGATCCTCCCAAGGGCCCTCACCATGGCTCCTAACATTTCTTTGTTTCGAAAACTATAGATGATGGGGTTGCACATGGGGGTGATAATGGTGTAGAGGAGGGAGAAAGGCTTGTCTTTGTCAGGGCCATGTGTGCTGCGAGGGTTCATGTAAGAGAACATGGCAGAGGTATACAGAAGGAGAACCACAGTCAGATGGGAGGCACAAGTAGAGAAAGTCTTCCCTCGACCTGAGCAGGAGGCTCTGCCAAGGATGGAGGACAGGATGCGGGCATAGGAGATGACAATGAGCACCATGGGGCTGAGCAGCACCAAAATGGCATCAGCAAAGATCATCCTCAGACTAAACTGGGGATCTCCACAAGACAGCGCAATCACTATGGGGGCCTCACAGAAGAAGTTTTCTATGTGGTTGTCTCTACAGAAGGGATTCCGGAATGACATATACTCAAGAAAGATGCCATTGATCAGCCCAAAGAGCCAGGCAGTACTCACCAGCTTCACACAGACCTGCCGGCTCATGATCTGGGCATAGCTGAGTGGGTGGCAGATAGCAACATAACGGTCATAGGCCATAAAAGCCAAGAGGATGCACTCAGCCACACCCACACAGAAGACCAAGTACATCTGGGTCAAGCAAGAGACAAAAGAGACACTGTGGTTCTTGACCACCAGGTGGATCAGCATCTGTGGGATAGTGGTGGTGATGAAGCAGACATCCAGGAAGGACAGGTGGCCAAGGAAGAAGTACATGGGGCTGTTGAGCCTGGGGTCTGTCCAGGTGATGAAGATGATGAGGCCATTCATGGCCATGGCAAGGCTGTAGAGGGCTAGGAAGAGGACAAAGAGTAGTGCCCGAGTGGAAGAGGAGCTCTGCTCAAAGCCCACAAGGATGAACTCTGTCACTGTGCTGCCATTCCTTAGGGCCACTGTCTTGGACCTGCTTGAGGAGGGAGGACAGGAAAGCACAGGTGAGATAGTTCGTAGGGAATGTAAGGTACTCACTTGAGCCCAGAGACCCAACTATAAAAGAACAATGAGCGGTGGTCAATGTTTTGAACATTAGGAAAAGATGTAATTGGCAATGTTGTGGGGCAGTGAGGATACCAGGGTCACCTATCAAAAACAGGAAGTGATAGTTATACTTTATTCTGATTTGGGCAGGCCTCAAATGAAGTACCACATCTGCCCCAGGGCTGTAAACACTGAAGGATTAGCCACTCTCCAAAATGTGTTCAGAGGTGCAAGGCTAAGATGGTTGGGCCTGGTACTCATGGCAAATGAGGAAAGGTTTAAGAAAGTGAGGAATGGAGTATTTGAGGGAACCGCATGCTGGCTGTTAGCTTATAGAAGATCATATTTGGGAGATGTTTACAGATGTATTTTCCTAGAGGAGAAAAAGTGCTCAGCCTTACTGTATGTATTTAAAATGACGAATGGGTTGAAGTTTCAGAGGAAACAATAACATTCTCCCCCTCAGCATTGCCCCTTAGGTGAGAACGATTTGCAAATCTCTGGAAACATCCATGCTTACCCCTTAGCTGAGAATGATTAGCAAATCTCTGGAAAGAGAGTCATTCACTCTCTTTCCAGACTCTCTCTCCCAGTGGTTGGTGCTGCTGCATCCACCACCCATGCTGTGCATGCAGGAGATGGGGCCTAGTTCTGAGCTCTTGCATGCTTTCCTAATGAGAGGCAGTTTCCTACAGAGGTTGGAATACAGGGCTATGCACCGTTGGGTGGAAAGGATGCAACCATTGCTCTGAGACAAGGGAAGGTATGAGTGGGGCACAAATACAGCATTTCTGGAATGGACCTTCAGAAAACTGATCTGTTTGCTTCCAGGATAAGTCTTGTTCTTTTCCCATCATCAGAGAATGAGCGTTCAGAATTCTCATATTCTTTTCTCATTATTGCAACTTTTAGGAAGTCATCATGTTCATGTTTAATCTCTCTTGCACTTTTCAACTTGTCTCTGAGTTAGGATACCAGAGAGATCCCTTCCACTCTCAGATCCTTATAGATGGTTAGTATATTCCTTCTTACCCTTCAGTTCTGCCAACCACTCTTCTTCATTTTCTTTTCTCTCAGGCCTTTTCCCACACATTCTTACTCTGCCCGTATGTTAGTCTCCCCCCCCTTTTTGCACACTTCCACTTCTCACTGTTTTCTTCTCCCTCTCCCTTTCTCATATTTGGTGTAGGTGTCTGCCATTCAGTGACCTCTGGTTGGACTCCCCTTCCTTCTCTGTCTCTTTAAATATCTCATGTTGTCTATCTTAATTTTAGAACAGACCTACCCCATTACTGCCACTCTTTTCTGCTTTGGATTCCCTCTAGGTGATTTCCTGATATGTCAAGGCAGTAGGCCATTCCCATCATCCGTACTTTGGGATGTTCCCCTAGAACTTGTACCTAGAACTCCTCTTCAGGGGCGAGAGAGGGCAGGAAGGGTCTAAGGACAATGTTTAACCCGAGAAGTGGCTTGGGATCATGGGACCAGTGGATATGTTGTGGCTGAGGTCAGAGTCTGGGCAAGGGAAAGCAGTGAGCTATCCTGCAGACAAGCCTGGGACCTGTCCAAGAAGACACTGAAGCTCAACCTAAGAAGGCCCGAGGATCTATAGTAGTATATAAATGCTTATTGTGGTTCATTGTACCAGGAAGAATACCTGGTGATAAGTGGCATCTAGAGCCCTGGTAAATACCGGGGTTAATAGGCCAACCATTTGTATAAATAAATAGGACAAGGACTTGAAACTCACGTCCTACCTCATTCTGTGGCTTGGCTGCTGCTGATGTTTATCACTGAATCACTGCAGCAAATAATAGAGAAAATCTCATGGTGTCTGTAGAAAAACTGGTCCACGGAGGATGGTCTGACCTGCTGGTCCACTCTGGAAGATAGTTGTGGTGGTACCACGTCAGTTCTTTGACATTCATCATGTAGATGATGAATGTTCACTTAAAAATACCTCTACGTTGCATATGTACTGCACTTTAACTGTCATATATTCCACTTATTAATAAACATAGTTGCTCCCACTTTTCATACTGTATGTTTTTACCTTCTCAATACTTTTTATTCTATCCCAGGGCTGAGTTTTAGCAGCTTGACTTGAAAAATCACATGCTCTCTTAATTGTTACTTGAAGAATCACCAGCAAGAAAATAACAAAAAATCATATTCCTTTAGCTATAGACAATCCCTTATTATTATAAAACATAAAACTTATTCTTGTAGTTTTTTTCCAAAACAGAATTTTCTGAAACTAGAAATCAGAAATTGTCTAAAACTAATGGTGAACCTCTAAAATATCATTTTGTTGGTGGTCTTAATAATGGCCGTAGTAATATGTAAATTGGTGTCTCTCTACTTTTAGAAAGATTTGTGAGATTTCTCTGTTAAACCAGAAGAGGATTATGGGATTTCTTCTGCCAAGGGTATAGATATAAGATAAACAACCACCCATAACCTTTGGGTTTCTTGTTTAAAGAGTCTAGGGTGTGTAATCTCATTTAAATTCATAATAGTTTATTAAATATTTCACACATGCCATGACTTTTTATTGTAATTTAATTATTTAATCTAATCTAATCAAAGAACTTCTGGTAAGTTATGTTGGCATGCAGTTGAGCAGAGTTTGGCAAGGAGAGAGGAACAGGGAGGAAGTTTTCAGCTGTGGGTCCAGATTGGCTTCAGAATGATTAATTACACATACTGTTCTGATTTCTTTTAGAACTACTTGCAAGAAAGATATAACTTTTCAAAAATTCCAAGAGCCTCTCTGCAGAGCAGTGATTTGTGTTGGAGGAGCAGCCAATAGGATGGTGGAAGTAGGACTATTTACGTGTCTTACCCCTTATGGTTAATCATAGACTTAATGGGGTAATTATACAATGCTAGATACTGTTAGGGGTGGGTAGGTAAGGAATAAGTTCTTCCATATTCCTGATGTTTCCTTCCACATGGCTGAAACTGTGATGACATAACATTCTTGACCTTTCTCTTCGTCATTCACATCCTCCCATGGGGAGTGGAGTGGCTTACTGAACTCGTGATTAGAGAAGGAGAAACCAAGCACGAGTTTTCTGTCCCTTTCTTGAGGTCAATTTCCCCTTGGGAGTGAGTGGCCTTCTCCAGAGCAGACTCTACCCCTGGTTAGGGAGTCTTTGTGGTTGTACAGTCGTGTCAGTTACAGGGGCATAGGTTTGTCTGTTTCATTCTCTGCTTCTGGATTAGGAAACCCAATGTCTGCTTTGTTAAAATAAAGATGCTGTTTTAGCCTTCACCTGCAACCTGTCTCATTGCTCAGATGATTCAGAACCAGGTGGGAAGAGCAGTGTTATTTGCTGGACCCCTCAAAATCCCTAATGGTATTAGCAGTAGCATAATCACGTATATGGAAATAAAATTCAAAGAAAGACGTGATAGAGCGTTGGTTAAAATGACAAGAAACCATGAGTGACAATGATGTCTGAGATGATCCTGAGAGGGAAAGTTCTGCTGTTACACATATACTGAATGCTCAAAGCACAACACTGGTGAGTTAAGGGAGAGAGAAGTATATTCCATGATCATAGGAATACAAAGAACAAAGTCTGCTATTGTAAAATAGACTAGTTGGAAAATGTCTTATTAAAATGTTAAGATTCTGATTCTTGCCATAACTACTGAGGAGGAGCAGGACACTATTGAATACTTTTGACAGTTAGACACAATGTTCCTGTTGTTTCCTAAAATGCTGTGACCACAGGAATGATAATATAACACAGCACCGTATTGGAGAGTATGCCTGCCTTAAGAATGTGTTGATTCACTTCATTTGCAAATAAGCTTTTCAGCATTCTTTTTCTATTTTTAATTATTTTTTAGATGATCTAAAATCTACTAAAATCTAATTTTTTAAAATTGGAGTTCAATTTGCAAACATATAGCATATCACCCAGTGCTCGTCTTGTCAAGTGCCCCCCTCAATGCCTGTCAGCTTATCATCATTCTTAAAATCACACATATATATATTTTTGAAAAATTATGTATATATTTAGAAAGCTTCAGCCCCTGTGAGGCTTGGTTATCTTCTTGCAGGTAGATAAATAAACATATAAATAAAAAGTGTAAATATATACTATGTGGCTCTAGTAATTTCAAATCTAACAAAGCTTGAAATCTGGTTTCTCTAAGCCTTTCTTTTTTGGATGAAATTCATACTTTCATGACCTTAAAACCAAAAATCATTATTTTTTCTAAGCATAAAAACTTTGTGGTGGATATATATATATATTCTGAAGTTAAGGGAACCCCAGGAGTGAGAAGACATGTTTCAGGGTGTCCATGCATCTCAGAGAGGTTGTGCCAAAACATGTGTGCATGACAGCATTTTTCTTGGAGAGGTCACAGGCTAATCAACTTCTCAATAGCTACTGGAACCCACAAAGGGTAAGAATCTTGTCATCTAGATATTTGAAGTCACTAAGACTTCTCTTCTTTAGACTGAAAGTGAAAGTTTTCTGTCATCTTGCTACATTGTTTATTTCCTCAAAAGTGTCTCCAAGGAGAGTGGCTGAGACATGGTTGAGCACTCAACTCTACCACTAGTAGCCACTTGATATTATATTATCCCTAAGAGGTCTCAAAAAAAAGTCCACACAAACAGTTTATTACTTGCTTGAGTTTTGGCTTCCAGCCCTTATGTTGGAGGGCTCCTAGCTCCCATTGGGGTTGACTACAGGGTAAGCTTTTTTTTTTTTCCCGTGGGTCACTTAGTGTCCTAGGGCCTAAAATGTTAAAAGGAAGTGAAAATCCCCTGTTGCTAACCCCACACCTATAGTCCAATCTTGACCTCATAATTAAAAGGAGAATTAACAGACCTAAAAATATACAGAATAGAGTTGGGGTGGGTAGGAGGGTACAATAAGATACCTAATTAAATAGCATATTTATGATATAAGTTCAGAAAATGACATTCTAAATTACCACGGAAGTGGTACTTCTGGCCCTGTGAACCACCAGATATTACCTAGAAAGAATGCCAATATTTTTATATTGGGAGAGGAAGGAGGAGGTGGCAGATTTGGGAGAGGAAGGAGGAGGTGGCAGATAAAAAAAAAAAAGGAGCTTCAGTGCAGTTGACGTAGTTTGCTGAGGGAAAAACCTCTATGGTGACTAGTGGTTTTGTTTCATTCAAGTTTAGGACAAGCAGAAATGGTAGTTAGAGGAATTTTCTGTCCCACAGACTTTTAAACAATGATACAAGTGCCTCAGGGGTCTAGTTTCCTGCTCTGTAGGTTTTTGAGACTATTTCAATGAAAGTTCCAGTATGTCAGGTCTGGTTTAGACTTGGTCCAGTACAAAGACAAAGGATAGACACCAGCCTGCATAGTTATCAGTGTCCCCAGGAGGATCCATGGTTCCTCTTCCTAACCTCCTTTCTTACTTAATGGTATTATTTGGACTCTTAGTAACCTAAATCAAAAACCACAAAGTCACCTTCCACTCTCCTCTTTCTAACCTCCATAATATATTAAGTCCCAATAATATTCAATTTTCCCTACTCTCCTACAGACACCCTGAATTCCAGCCACAGTTCATGTTCCCCATAGTTACTTGACCTCCAGGTCTCTGTGTAAACTAGTCCCTCTTTCTGGAATACACTCTTCACACATTTTTTCTATTTGACAAAACCCTGCTTTTACAAGACTAAATAAAAAATGTTAACTCAAGGGGGTTCTTTGAAAATTGAGTGAAGATTTCCATTGCTTCTCAAGACTGAGAGCTAAGAGCCAGGCTGAAAAATCTCCTAATAAAATAAGATTAGAAAGATTAGATCAACAGGCAGCCTTCAGGAAGAAGGCAATGGCATCCACCCTCCTGATTCCAGCTCAGACAAGGTAAGGTTCACTGTAAAGGGGGTAATCAATTTCTAACTAACAGGGACAATGATGATTTAGAAATCAGATTTGAAAAAGCAAAAGGAGGGCTATTAATCTTTCAAAATTATAGACATGATGAAAACCTCTGGAAAGGAATGAGGGTGAACCCTGGATTTGGCCTTGCTAAAAGGAACAGCAACAAGGATCTATAGAGCTCTTTGTTAGTGAGACATCCACAACCAGAGATCAGGAAGATGCACAACTTAGAGTTGTTTGGAAGATTTTGCCACCTATCTGTGGAGGGAGAGAACCAAGTAGTTGTATCTAGCTAGGTGGGGTCTCACATCAGAAATATTGGAGACAGTAAACTACAGTGAGCCTGTTCACCAGGAGCAAAAAGTGAAATTAGAAAGACCTTGTAAGGGGGGAGGGGCAAGATGGCGGAAGAGCAGGGTCCCCAAATCACCTGTCCCCACCAAATTACCTAGATAACCTTCAAACCATCCTGAAAATTTACGAATTCGGCCTGAGATGTAAAGAGAGACCAGCTGGAATGCTACAGTGAGAAAAGTTCGCACTTCTATCAAGGTAGGAAGACGGGGAAAAAGAAATAAAGAAACAAAAGGCCTCCAAGGGGGAGGGGCCCCGCGAGGAGCCGGGCTGAGGCCGGGGCGAGTGTCCCCAGGACAGGAGAGCCCCGTCCCGGAGGAGCAGGAGCTGCACCAACCTTCCCGGGCGGGCGGAAAGGGGCTCGCAGGGAGTTGGAGCAGGACCCAGGAGGGCGGGGATGCCCTCGGGCTCCCTGGGACACTAACAGACACCTGCGAGCGCAGGGGAGTGCTCCGAGCTCCCTAAGGGCTGCAGCGCGCACGGCGGGGACCGACCGGAGCAGCTCGGAGGGGCTCGGGCGGCGGCTCCGCGGAGGGGGCTGCGGGGCGGGAGCGCGAATCCCACAGCGCAGGCCCCGGAGCACAGGGCGCCGGGACACAGCCCAGGATCCGGCCTCCCCCGGGACAGGCAGAGGCCGGGAGGGCCCAGGACAGCAAGGACGCTCCTGCCCCGAGCTGAGC